TTATATAGCATTGAAATACATCTTCGGTTATTGCTCACCATATATGTAATATCAGCCCAAATTGAAAAGATTTTATCATATTCAACCGAATTTTACCATTTGGCGAACCTCTACTGCTCCAATAAATAGATTTTCAAAAGGTTTTATTTAGCTCACCCCGTTTGTTTTATTATTTACAAGCTGAACCCGGTGCGCTTCGCTACCCCTTTTGATAAAACAATACAAATTTAAAAATTAAAAAAAAAAAAAATTAATTTCTTTAATGCGTTAATAAACAAAACCATTAGAAAAGTAGTAACATGACATGCATACACGAAAGGTTTGTCCTTTGGATTTATTTATTTCATATCAAATACCAAGCGTGCAGCAACATACTTCCCCGTAATAAGCGTATTTCAAATTAATTGTTGTGTTGTTTTTTTGGTGTTAGCCTAAGGCGTTGTGGGTCAATGGTTCTTATTAAAATCATATCACAATCTGATCCGATTTAAATATAATTAAAAAAAAACAAGTAAGCAAAGGCTACAGTCGAGCGGGGCCGACCGTTGAATACCCTACAACACTATAATAAACGATACAGTTTATATAGGCGAGATACTCGAAAGAATTCCACAAGATATTGTGACAAATAATAAAAGAAAACCATCAGGTTTCGTTCTCTAATTTTCGAATAATAGCAACTTAAACTAATTTGCTCATTTCCAATTTATTGGTAGATGTTGCACTTAAATAGTCTTCTAGATCTGGAACCAATATTTCCCAAAGACCTATAATATCTCAGAAGTGGCAAAAAATTAACATTTATTATTGGTTTTTGACTGAAACGCATCTATATGAGATACAGACATTTGACTACATTCTTCAACGAAATCAGCGTTAAAAAATAGTCAGAAGTGCGTCTTTCCTTTATTTGTGAATTCTCCAAAAAGTCACTGGAATGGACATTTTCGTATTTTGTCTACAAAAGTTGGCAAACTCCTTTACACATTGAATATTTTTGGATGGCCATCCAAAACTGCTTGGCTTTTGCAATGTCCGGTAACCCCCATTCAAATGTGCGTGAGGATCGGGCGAATAAAAATATGCCAAAAATATGTCAAAATGGAAAAAATATGAGAAAATATTTCAAAATCAATATTTTCATCTTTAGAGAGATATTTATTTTTAATGAGAACTGTCGAAATCAGTTCAGCCGTTCTCGACATATATGAGATCTTTCAAGCATATCTTTTTTGATAGACATATATATCGCACATATTTTGCTATATATCCGTTTTGTAGGATGTTACCATCAATGTAAAGATAAGAAGTAACCTTTGTGATTTTGCCGGGATTTAAAATATTCGCGGTTTAATGAAAAATAGGGTTCTATTCTGACCCTAGCCCCACCTCCATTCTAAATTTCGTGAAGATCGGGCCATAATTGCGACCTGTAGAGTGATTACAAATTAACATGGACAGACGGACGGACGGACATACATAGCTAGATCGACTCAGCTCGGCGAGATAGGAAGATCCATATATACTTTCCTATGTGGGAAATCAATATTTCGTGGTGTTACATAATTTTTGGCCCAATCAAACTTATAATACTCCCAACACATAGTGTTATAGGGTATAAAAATACTCTTTCACGAAATTCCGCCACAACTTTCATATTTCATTGAAATTGGTGCGTCAAATATGTGAAATCGGGCGAGAATATATGTATGGGAGCTATATCTAAATCTTAACTAATTTCCAATTAATTTATCACACCTATTATTATAACCAAATTCCGCCACACATTCTGAATTTCATTGGAATTGGTCATATATATCGTGTTTGGTGTATAATATGTATGAAGTCGGCCGAAATATGTATGTTAGCTATACCCAAACCTCAACCGATTTCAATATAATTTGGCAATTTTTTTCTGATGCCAGGCGTCTCTCTCGCCTTGGGTGCATCAAATATGTGAAATCGGCCAAGAATATATATGGGAGCTATAATCAAATCTGAGCGAATTTAAATATAATTTGTAAAATTTATTTTCGTACCCAATTTAGTCACTCATACAGTACAGTACAGTGTTCTGTGCATCAAATATGTAAAAATCGGCGAAAATATATATGGGAGCTATATCCAAATCTGAACCGATTTTAACATAATTTGACTAATTTATTTACTAATCAAAATCCCGTCACATATTCCAAATTTCTTTGGAATCGAACATACATATCGTGTATGGTGCATAAAATACATGAAATCGGTCTAAAATATGTATGAGAGCTGCCAAATCTGAACCGATTTTAATATAATTTGACCAATTTATTTTCTAATCAAAATCCCGTCACATATTCCAATTTTTTTTTTTTTTTTGGAATCGAACATACATATCGTGTATGGTGCATCAAAACGAAATCGGTTGAAGATATATATGGGAGCTATATCCAAATCTGAACCGATTTCAATATAATTTGACAAATGTATATTCGTTTCAATTTCCGCTACACATTCCAAATTTCATTGAAATTAGAGATACATAGCGTGTTTGGTGGATCAAATACATGAAATCGGTCGAAAATATGTATGGGAGCTATATCCAAATCTGAACCGATTTCAATATAATTTGATAAATTTATTTTCGGATCAAATTCCGTCAAACATTCCAAATTTCATTGGAATCGAACATTCATATCGTGTTTGAGGCATCAAATGAACGAAATCGGTCGAAAATATATATGGAAGCTATAACCAAATCTGAACCGATTTCAATATAATTTGGCAAATTTATTTTTGTTCCAAATTCCGTTCGCATTCCAAATTTGGAGACTGTATCTGTAATCGATCAATAGTTGTGTGTATACAAATTCTAAATTTTTGGAAGGTACACCCAGAGAAAAAATGACAACATCCGTGTATGAAATGACCACATCCGTGTATGATAGTGTATCAACCACGTTTGGTGTCAAAATGAGCACGCTGTTGTCATTTTGACACCGAGATTTTGGCAACGATTTCAACAACAGATGTGCATGAAATGAGCACATACGTGGTCATTTCGAGCACGCCCCGTTGTCAGATTGTCAACGCTTCGTTGTCAGATCGTCAACGCTTCGTTGTCAGATTGTCAACGCTCCGTTGTCGGATTGTCAACGCCCGTTGTCAGATTGAAATCAATGGTGGTCATTTTTTGATATCCGTTCCTTTTCCATTTTATACCCTTAGTAGAAGAAACGACATTTTTTGAAAAGTATTTTATTGAACGAAACCAATTACATAAATTCAATATAAATACATATTTGATTTAACAAAACAATTCGAATTACATATATTCAATGTATAGAAACAAATTAAATTAACTTAAATCTGAAATAAACTTTTCCATTATTCATAGGATATAAGTGAAATGGGTAAGTAATAAAATCTAAAATTGGTATTAAAAAAATTGTATCCTCATTCAGAGAACCAACTTCATACGATTGTAAATGGTAATCAAAGTTTTTAACTTTTACTTGGTTACATAAAATGTAAACATTTTCATTTTCAATTATTAAATGTTTAATTTTGAAAAGTTCAATTGCGGCATTATTTGTTGCTAAATAATAGTTTTTTTTATACCTAGTTCCCTTAAAAAAAATGTCATCAGACACTTTGCAATTTTGGTAATTTAAAACTGGCTTACTTTTTTTGTAACAATATTCCTCTTTTGCCAAATCTTCGATGGTATGCGTATTAATGATAACATTTGGTTCTAAGTTATCTTCGTGTTTTAATAAAAAATTGGAAAATTTCAATCCAGACTTAATAGATAATGAACGACAGGGATTTACTCTTGATGTAGTATTTCCTAAATAGGCTTTTGCTTCCTTGTGTTTAGCTTCGAATCTCATGCTCCAGAGATATTTAAGGGGACCACATTTTCGGATAGCTGTGGGATAGTGGACAAGAAAGTGGTGTTTCGGTTTTAACGAACCGTATAATGTTATATAAAGTGAATGGTGATCTCTAATTAATTCTTCCAATTTTATTAAATCGTCTTCTATATAACTTGGTCTTAAAAGTAAATCGATTATTTGTAATAATATTATAAAAACTTTCCAGTGATCGTTGGAGAAAGGAATTAAATCGCCTACCATTAAAGGTAAAAAATTAGTAAAACACATAGTTTCACTAGCTGTCATTTTTAAGTTATAGTTTTTCAATCTACATAAATCTAGTGGTCCAGATTTATTTCCCACTTCAATTTCTCCAAATTGGAATAAAGATTTTCTGCTGTTAATACAATCTAACGTAACAATATTTTCTTGAATCAGCCCGAGAATTACATTAGACATATCGTAGACACATATGCCCTCGAAAATGTCATGCATAATATCAAAACAAAAATTTTCAGTGACGTTAAAATTTGGTAAAGATTCGAAGATACACTTGTTTTTAATACCTGTTTCTTGAAAATTATTTTCCAATACATTTGAGTTGTAATTCTCTTGGTTTCTTAAACTATCTAAATGCTGAATTGCGTCGAATTGCATTTGGGACTTTTTTCTTCTACATACCCGGCAAAATCTTTTAGAGTTAAATGATTGCACGTAGCCTAAAATACTATTAACTGCTAAATTATCTCCAATAATTACACCTAAAATAAAATGCACCTTCTGAACACTTTGTTGAACACAAATTTCAACCCCTTCTTCTAGAATTTTTAACTCTTCTACAAGATTGTGAAATGAAACTTCATTTCCACGTTCTTTTAAATCCTTTGATGGTATAAACGCAGCAGTTAATATATAATCAAGTTTTGACAACAAGTGCTGTGGCATTGAAGGAAAGCTAATATAACAACCACATATGGAAAATGTATGGGTTCCAAGAGGATTATTAATTTGAAAATCATCCATGTAAAGGACATAGGGAATAACTAAATTGTACTGATATTTTAATAATTTAGTTTTATATAACTCACCGTTTGTAAAATTTTGTAAAACAGGTGAATTTAGGAATTTTTTGGAGTTTTCTAATGTCAAATCTAAGAGATTTGGAATTTTAAAAAGGGCACTTATCATGAATTTCAGTGGCATTATATAAATATTGGATAACTTTGGACCTAAACTGGGATTTCCGCTGATAACAATTTCCGAGACTTGATTGCTAATTACATAAACCTTTGGATCATCATAAAAGTTTAGTTCTTTTAAAATTTTTAAAAGTCTATATTCCGTTCTAGTTTCTTCGAAAGGATTTTTACAAAAGTTTAGTAAGTACCTTAAGTCTTCATAATTTGGATGATCAGTTATATATTTTTCAATTGTACATGAAATGGATGAAAGCAGAATTGAAACAGAATGTTGTATTTCTATAACATGATTTCTAGGCATATAGCTTTGACCATGTAATTGTAAAGACAGATATAAGGTTTTCTTTTTCAAAACATTTAAATCCTTTTCTATTGTATTGTTGTTAATAACAGTTTCACTGTTTGTATAATCATTTTCTTTTGATGATGACATTTCAACTGGCACATTAATGGCTTTAACCATTGGTGGAGCTTTTGTGTGATTCTTGTGAAGTTTTTCTAAATGAATTCTGAATGACGTAAATTTTGTAAATGTTTGCTTACAGTTGTCCTGAACGCATTGTACTTTTAAAAATTTAGTGGACATTAAATGGTCTGTTTTCAAATGAGCTATTAAAAGATTTGCCTTATCAAAATGCTTACGGCAACGAAAGCAAATATACATTTTGAATTGTACTTTAATTATTGTTGCAGAAATTAATAAGTGAAGTCAAATTAACTGATTTTATATCATATACAGTATTAATTTCATAAAAATATTTTTGGATAAAAATCCATGGAATTTGGCAGGCATTTGGATATTTTAAAGAAAGTGCATGAAAAATTTTAAAACATGTATCTAAACATTCGAGGAACGATTGAAATTTTAACAAATTGTGGTTAAAAAAAACATAAAAACCTTTTATATTGAAATCGGACAAACCCTCCACAATTATAAATGGCTGTATAGTTAATCCAGCATTGTAATACTTTTCAGTGACTGTATCAATTTGCCTTTTATAATCGTTAATTGTCGGTAGTCGCAGTACGAAACTTTCCTGCGAATCAGCTATTGTTACTTTTTTTCGTAATTTACCGTTTCCACATTTAAACCTAGCAGGTGATGGTAAAACTGAATTCAACAGTATTGCGTATATATAATCTTGAGCATCTGCAACCGAAATATAAAATAAATATTACTTTTAATGTTTATGATAAATCAGGAATTAAAATTTACCTATGCTGCTTGCCGTCAAAACATTTGCGAAGAGTTGTTTGCAATGTTCGTTATGAATATTTTTCCCATAATAATTGTAAATTTTTTTCTTAAATTGGTCCCATTTAGAAAGTAGAAGATTGCCTTTCTGTGGATACATAATATCGAAATCAATGTTGACCTAAAACGAAACATTAGTATCCATATACAAATAAATAGCTCATGGCTACTTACCAATTCTGAAGCTCTTGCATCGGACAACTTCGTCCATTCAAGGAGAAATGTATGGCTACTTAAATTTTTTATATCTCTTTGCCGTATGTTAAAAGATCTTTTCCATTTTTCGCAGATCGATCCCCAATCATTACATTCTCTTAGTAAGGAAGCTTTCAATGAATTTTCAACTGATTCATCAATTTCGGGAACATCTTTGTTACAAAAATTAGGAGATGTGTGAGTTGCTGCTTTGCTTGTGCTAGGCTCGGAAATCAAAAGCTTTATTCTTTTGGACTTCTTGTTTCTATACTTGGCATAAAGTTTTCCGCTTGCGTTGTTCTTTCCTTTTCTTGAAATGTAATAATAATCCTAAAAATAAAGACATATTATAAGTTAAGAAACTACATAATCAGATACGTTGTTTATATTGTTAATCTTACCCTCATTTCGTTTTCAAGAGGAAAAACGGAACAAATTTCATCCAATATGCGCATATAGTCTTGAGTGTAAAGAGTAACATTGTTGGTTAAAATATCTTCAATAATTATATTAATTATATCATCTCTTTGCTCGTCACTTAATTTCTTATTAACGCTACTACATTCAAGCGCTAGTTTCCCCTTCGAGGTATGTGTTAACAATTCCGTTAGATCCTATATTAAATAAAAAAACTACATTAACTATGCTTACACAAATATTACTCTTACCTTACCTCTGACAAAATTCCTTTGGCTTTTGAGCAGTTCGAACCTGTAGTGTCGGGAGTACCAGGAGTACTTGCAGGTGTCTCGTTGCGTTTCCACCATTCACCTATTTTAGATGGAACTGACATAGTTTCGTCATCAATCCCGAGCTATTGTTATGACAATATTAATACTGAGTTCAACTCTGTAAAACAAATAATACGTACCTTTCGTTTTTTCCAAGCAAAGAGCTTTTCTCTGAATTCAACACGCAGTCCCAATGGTGGCACTGCTTCCTTTAAATCTTCTTTTTTCAAGTACTGCAAGCTGCGAAATGTTACATGTGATGCTAAAAGAACAAAAAAGAAAATTCTTTGTTAATTACACTGATTAACTGAAAAATTCATTTTTATTTACTTACCTTTTAATTGTTCAAAAAGCGACTCCATATTTATTCCTTTTAAGAACTCCCTTAACATATAATCGTCCTCATTGTTTTCCGCATCTTGACTGCTGCAATGGTTTGTATCGCGAACCACAACAATATTGCCATCGATTTCTAACAACTCACCAATGATATTTTGAGGATCTTGCGAATTATTATTCATTTTCAATAAATTTTTTGCACAATGCGTCCTTTCTCTTTCAATAACACGGAAAAAATGGTAAATATGCAGCCGATTGCACACGAGTAAAAAAAATGACAACGGTGGTGCATGATTCATACACGGTAGTTGCTAAAATGGCAACGATCGTGTACGATTCATGCACGTCGGTGTACAAAGTAACAACGGTGGTGCATCATTATGCAGGTGGTGGTGCATAATTCATACACGACCGGTGTCATATTGACAACGACCGTGTGTGAATCATGCACCACCGTTGTCATTTTTTACTCGTGTGTAATCGGCTGCAATTACCAATATTACAAATGGACAAATTAAGCACGGCTGTTGTTGGTACCGAAAGTTGACCACGTCTCGGTGTCAATTTGAGCACGTTCGTGCACAATTCACCAACAGCCGTTGTTGAAAAATATAACAACGGGTCGTTGCGAAAATGACAACATACGTGCTTGATTTCGCAACGGGATTTTTCCCTCAGTGTACCGCCGATTCTGATGCTATATCTCCACTTCCAAGTGGAATTTCAAAAATGTATATAGCCTATGTTACTTTCAGGCGATGTTGCAGTATACATGCAAATTTTCAGGAAAATCTTTTCAGCGGTTTCCGAGTCCATAAATTCCAAACATACAAACATTTCCCTCTTTTATAGATATAGAAGAAGATGGGTCAAATTTATTAATTCAAATTTCACCATCTTCCTGACAACCGATTAATCTGAAATTTTGTATACACTTTGGAATTTGGTGACAATACAATTATGTTTATTCATTATCATTATAAATCCAAGATGGCGGCCGCTACCAAATTGGCGGATAACGTAGGTTTTGTCAATCCCATCAATATGGATATCAAATGTAAGGGCTCAAAAAGCAGAATACAATATACTATAAAAACTGAAATCCAAGATGGCGGCCGCTACCAAATGGTTTATACCAATTTTTTATCAATTCCACCGATATGAGTATCAACTAAAAGGGCATGACAAGAAGAATACATTATACTATACATGTTCAATATGTAAGATGGCGCAGCCACTAAATGGCGTATAATAAATGTGCGTGAAAATAAATTTAAAGAGCACTGCTTTGATTTTTCGTTTACTCAACACTGGCCCTCTCAGAGATAAATGTAACTCAAAATCGCTTGTTATAAAAACAAAATAAAAGTTACAATAATGAAAACTATATAATAATAAAAATGTTATATGAATTTTATAAAAAATGCATAATAGTTCCAATATCAAACTTGGCATTCAAAACACTGCGCACTTAAACACCTACAAACTGAAACAAACTAATGGAAAGTAATCAAGGATGCGCCTTTGTGGTGTCCATATTTGGAAAAAGCGTCGAAAATGCTCATAAAACACTTATTTTGATAAACTCAACCCATCTGAAAATCCCACAATGGCCAGACATATATTTCCTGTGGTCCTCTTAGGAGAAATTGGTTTGAACCCACTCTGGGAAAATGGTTAGGGATGCACCTTTATGGTGTTTCGGAAAAAGCATCGAAAATGCTCCTAGACCACTTATTCTCACAATCCAAACCCATCTGAAAATCCCACAGTGGCCAGACTTATATTTCATATGGTCCTCTTAGGAGAATTTGGTTTTGACCCACTGTGGGGAAAATGGTATGGTATGATAAAAAATGTTTGTATTGAAACCAATTGCAAGATTTTGGTATAATTTTAAGTTATCTGTGAAAAAATGAACAATGACAAAAATGCTTAGTTCATCCTTTGTTCCAGTTCTGCAAGAGTCAAATTTTTACCTCGACACACTTATTTTCCTTTATGATATCGAAAAAAGGCAAGAATATTAGGTTCTTGCAGGTTCTGAAATAAAACGAACATTGATATTTGTTGATATGTATCCAATTGTAAAATTTGACTATTATAAACATTAACATTTTTTCTTTGCATTATACATTTCTATTTTGAACACACAAGAAAGAAAATTGTTCAGTTCACAATGTTGATTTTTGAAATTTCGTATGCTCGACGTTTTTCATATAAATACATCATATTAATCTGTGGTTTGAGAAACGTCGGAGAAGTACATACATCTTTATATGTAAACCCAATTTTCCCAATTTATTATACCCTACACCACATGGTGGTCAGGGTATTATGTCTTTGTGCATTTGTTTGTAACATGCAAAAGGAAACGAGATAGACCCATAGTTCCTTTTGATGATCTGCATAGAATCACATTCTGAGTCGATTTATGCATGTCCGTCTGTCCATGTATTTTTGTAAACAAAGTACAGTTCGCATTTATTGCCCTATCCAGATGAAATTTTGCACAAATCATTTGTTTGGCCCAAGGACGAACCCTATTGAAATTGGTCAAAATTTAGCTCCCAATATAGCTCCCATATATATCTTCGTCCGATTTGCCTTTTATTGTACACCAAACGTGTAATATCAGTCCGAATATTATGGAATTTTGCACGTACGATCAGATTGGACCTGAAAATAAGTATGCCAAATTTGATCGAAATCGCTATAGCTCCCATATATACTGTCCATCCGATTTGTTGCCCACAGCCGTAATATGCACTCCGTAACAACGATATTCAGGGAAATATATCAAATACAGCTCAGAAATACCTTTGCTAAATTTTATCGCGATTGGTTCAGATTTGGATATAGCTCACATATGTATTTTTATCCGATTTCAAATAAATTGTGCACCAAATGGGCAATACAAGTCCGAATTTAAAAGATACAAATGCTTCGGCATATTTAGTCCTTTGAACTTTAAATTATATTATAAAAACTTTTTATTGTTATGCGAAGCTCTACTAAATTAGCAAAGTGGTGTAGAGTATCATAAAGTCGGCCCCGCCCGACTTTAAGACTTTCTTTACTGGTTTCTGTTATTAATTCTATGTGCATCGCAATAGAATTTACAAAACGGAATTGTTAGCAACCCTTCTACAATCAGTTTTCACCGCATTGCTTCAGCTATTGTGAATACACAACAAATAAACAATTGTCAAAGGAAGAGCGCGAGTTAATTCTTGTAGTAATCCGAGTATTAAAAAAAACACAAGTTTATTCGTTGGTTGCTCAAAAATTACTCTCCTTTATTGAAAACAATAATTAAAATGAAGGTTACGATTATAAACTTATTTAAAGTGAAAATTGCAATAACTGCATTTTGACAATTTATAAAATTATTAGTAATTCTATAGCTGGTGGCCTGTTTACAATTCTTTGAAATTTAAATATATGCTTATTTAACAATTCTTTTATTGAACAATTCTTTATTTTACAGTTCTTTTTCGGTCTGTTGAACTATTTAAAATTCTTACTAATTTTATATGTAGCAATTCATACGGTTATTGACTTATTAGCAATTCTTAATAATTTTTATTATTTATTTGCTTGATTTAACCTTGGTGGCTTTGTAGGTGCTTGTGTTAATGTTGTTGTTGTTGATGTTGTTTCTGTAACTCCTCCCCCCTTAGTATGGAGCGATGGCCAAAAGAATTGATGGTCAGAAGCGACAACAGTATTGGCGGGAAGTTCATTTACCACTAATTTTGTCTTCTGTTTCATTATATAGGTGAAAATTACAATTCCAATTATTAACATTAAAGTTCCATAATTTATGTGTCTGTGAAGTTCTGTATTGTTTGATAACTCTTCGATGGCTAACTTATTTTCTAGATGGTACTCTTTGAGTTTAGGTATATTTAAAGTTTCTATTGTAGACAAAGGTTTTATGTTTATTTCTGTGGGTAGTTTTACAATAAAATCGTCCCAATATATGTTTGGGTTATCTTCGTAGATAATTCCGTTAATAATAACATTACAGTTTTTAAAATTTATTAATAAGTTGCCTTCAATATTATGTTTTTCGGAGTTACATGATGTTTTCATTTCTGTGGTCGGTAAATTTTTTATTAACACGAGTCCTTGTTCAGGTTGTGATATTTCTGTAATTTGGCCTATATTATTGAGATTACAATTAGCTTCTAAATTACTTATGATTTTTCCAAAGCATGAAGAATTTTCCATAGTTTCTTGTAGTGAACTTTCTTTACAATAATATATGTTTTCGATTTTCTTACATAAATTTTCGAAATATTGAATTTTATTATTATTATAAATTGTGTAAGGTTTTATAACTATTTCTTTTGTTTTATTAATTGGTATAGGAATTGTATGGGAAATTGTGTAATTGGTTAATGGGATGTGGGGAATTTGAATGTTAAAAACGATATTGGTATCATTGTAAAATGCCTGTAATTGTAAGAGTTCATATAAATGTTCTGTTGTATCAATTTTAATTGACTGATTCTCTAAATTGTTCCCTATTTCTTCTAACTCTTGCGTATTTAATATCATCTTGGGTATAATTCCGAGGCTAGACAATGTCATCGCTTCAGAAACATCTTTAATATGATTTGTCAGTAAATCAATGTGGAAATTAATCTGATTTAAATACTGCATATCATTTATAAGTCTTGAGTTGGAATTTATGCTATTTTGAGAATTCTTTATTGACTCTACTATTATATCTTGTTCTTTATTTATGTGGTCTGTGATATTTTCTATTCTTTCAATGATTCTAGTACTAAGTATATTCTGTTTACTGGTTTCAGTTTGTAATTTATTTGTTAGATTAAATATAGCCTGGTTAATACGGAGAGCATCATTATCGTCCATATTACCTGTGATAAATTTAACTGCTGAACCTATACCATTAAATAATCCTCTTTTCCTGCGGTATTTAGGAGTTATTGAATTCAATTTATCCTTAAGGTCTTTAAGTTTAAATTTTGTTACCTTTAAGGAATCTCTGTTGTAATATGTGGGAGTAAATTGTTTGACAGATTCCTCAATTTTCATGACATTATCCTTATAAGAATCTAATTTTATTATATGTATAAGGTTGATATAGTCAATTATTGTTTTAGCAGTTCCCAGTTTTATTTGTAATAATCCCTGGGTGTCTTTTAAATTGTGTATCTCCAGTGTTTGTGTGTGTATCATGGGTATTAATCTGAAATAAAAGATTATGAAAATTGTTTTTTTCTTATTTTTGATTTGTGAAGTTTCGTGTTTTGTGTAGTAAGTAATGTTGCTTTGTTGTTTTGTTTCACTTTGTGCCTAGAAAATCTCGGTGTTAATTTGTTTCTCCTACATTCCTTCCTGTATATAGTTATCTACATCATAATTTAGTGGATCTTGTCTGTCTGCATTAAGTTTTTCTATGCGTTTGTCCGTGTCGGTTTCCAATTTTTCCTTAATAGATTCGTAGAGTTGTGTTCGAAATTGATTAATTTTAGAAAGATATTCGTGTTCATTGTTAAATGTAATT